ATGTCAAAACAATAGAAAATTCAAAATACATAAAACCCTCAAGCAACCCCAACAGCTCCCATTTCTAGGAGCCCCTATCCAGATCCAAAAGGCCAACCACAAAATCTTCAAACTAATAACCAAAGCTCATATAAATAACAATACCCACTTATTCCAAAATCTACTTAAACAAAACCGTTAGCTTACCACCAAAAACAAACTCAGAAATTGCCTACTGGACCCCACCTACAAGATCACACGAACCATTAATTCACAAACTCAACATCATCTTTGGCTTGAGTGTAAGCACCTCAGCTTCTCAAACTAATCTTCCTAGATTTCTAACCTTCATATAGGCCCAACCCCGAACAATCCCCCTTTTAGCCTGGCAAAAACTTTCACAACCTGAATAGCTTTTTTTTTTGACCTTTGAACTGTCTAACAGCATTAGGGTTCGATTTGTCTTCCATGCTTGCTAAATTCTCAGATCTAGCAAAACCCCTTAAATTTTCCACAGCAACATTATTCATGCAGGAATCACTTTCATTTTGCTCATTTTCCATAGTCAAAACTCAAACAAGAATGCTATTCATGCTAGATTTGTTGGACAAGCACCAGATCTAGCAAGGCCATTGCCCTACACTGCTTCAGCAATAGAGTGCAGTACCTAGTTGTAGGCCAATGAGCATCACAATATGCTTCAACTTCTAATGAATGTTTTAAAATGTGGAGGTGAGACACGAGGTGTTCCACTACCTGCAGGCATGAGGTGTAGTTTAGAATGTAAAAGGCATAAGCCTCCCGAACATAAGGAGGCATAAACCTCCTTAAGAGGGGGGGAATGAGGACGGGGGGGGGAGGATAAGGAAGAGGAGGCATTGTTCTAAAAGTGCAAGGCGCAAAAAAAGCGCAAGGGGCATTTTGTGCCCAAGATGCAAAAATGAAAAAAAAGTAAGATAAAATATGCAAAAAATAAAAAATAAAATGCATAAACATAACATGTAAAGCATATTTAAAAATAAAGTCGAGCGTAACATATAAAACATATTCAAGCATGTAAACTCCCACTCTCTATTTTTTCCCCAATTGCATTACTTCCAATACCTAATGTGATGTTAAACATCATGCATTCCTGATTTTACAAGTTGCCTTTCCACCAGGCCTCTCGAGGCAAGACCTAACAAGTCCATATTAAGGTCTTAAATTCTTAATCCCTATAAAAAAAAAAGATTTTAAAATTTTAATTGTCCTTTAAAAACATCTTTTATTAGGATGAATGAATGAGAAAACAAATAGGGGGTTAGGCATAAAAAAAAAAAACAGAAAAAAATGCACAAATTTTCAAAAGGTGCATGTTAGATGAAGTGCAAGGAGCACCAGATGTGCACCATTTGAAAGTATTGCACCTCACATGTGCACTTAGGCATGCCTTTTAAATTACTAGGTGGGGCATGTGGTGTACACCTCAAGCACAGTTCATGCAAAAGGCATATGAGGCATACACCTCTTGCACCTTGCGTACACCTCAAAGGTATCAATACCTCTAGCATATGCCTCAAGGCACTTTGGGGGCACCTCGCCTAGAGTCGCACCTCCAAGCATATGCCTCTCACACCTTTTAAAACATTGCTTCTAATTTATCATGTTACTTGAACAATAACCCTTTCTCTAGGAGCATGCATAGGCTGGCTAACAATATGCACTTTATATGCATTATACAATCTAATGAGAGAAATAGAAGCTTACCTACCAGTCTATGATACCTCTTTTTATCAGTGTATAGCCCCATCATCATCTTCTTGCAACCCATGGTTCTGCTCAATAAGGATATCACCTTCCCTACTCCCCATTTCTAAAGCATACTTTGGCATATATCTCCCTTTACTAGACTTTAGTACCTCTATTTCAAGAAAATACCTTAGAGGGCCTATGTCCTTGATCTAAAATTTTGAGGCAAGATGTTGGAAGTGATATTTCCTCGTGTTCATTCAAAACCAAATGTACAATGTATGTTATCCTTATTGCTAATAAAATGAGGCTTTTCTTTATGAGGCAGTCTATTTATGTTGTATTAGCTTCTAATTGAAAGGTCCCCAGGTAATATTGTAAGGCATTCAAATGATAAGTGAGACTTATTATGGGAGATCTGGATGATCCAGTTCCTTATATTTATAACCATGAAATATCCTAGAGGGGAGTCTAGGAACTCACATGGTCAGCATATGAATGGTTTCCATAAGATGGTGTGGTGTGATATCAAATGATAAGTGAGATTTATCATGAGAGATCTGGATGATCCAGTTCCCTATATTTATAAGCATGAAATATCCTAGAGGTGAGTCTAGGAACTCACATGGTCAGCATATGAATGGTTTGCATAAGATGGTGTGGTGTGATATCAACAATTGGAGTGAGACTCTAGATTTGGGTGTGTATCCTTTCAACCATGCAAAAACTTCCAAAAACTAACATAACAATGATTTTCTGCCTTCTAAAATGTTTAGTGAAGCTTCTCAAAATTCTTTGGATCCTTGCAGCTAACACTGATCCTTTCTAGCATCAAAACCGCAATCTTCTTAAAGGTCTGATCCACAAATTCCTCTCCATCCATACAAACAACACCCCCTACAGCTTTAGAAGACCTACATTGTCTTGAACAGCCTCTGAACTTAAATTAAATTCAGCTGCAACACAATTCAAATTATCTTTCTCCCTGCCCTTATACTTCTCCTCCAGCTCCTCAAATGTTTTCCTTGCAATCTCCCCCAAGGAGAAACAGACCCAAAGATTTACTCACCAGCACTATCTCCAAACATTTGATCTTTCAGTAACATGAGTCTCATCACTAAATACATCTCCCTCCGAATCAGAACCATCATTGCTTCATCTTTATTCAGCATCTTCTTGTAATGGTTTAGTTCTGTAATTTCTTTTTCTTTTATGAACTTTTGAACATGGAATTCCATGACCTTCTCTCCCTTGATCACTACCCACTTCCTCCACACTACTCATTACCTTCTCAATCATAACTTTCTCACCTCCCCCTCCTCATTAAATCCTAACAAAGTCTTAAGACGCATAAAGTTAATAATCTCATGCCTTTGATTAGATTCAGCTACGACCAGTGTTTCAAAAGCGCAAGGCAAGGCAGACACCTTTTTGAAGTAAGGCACAAAAATACAAAAATGCCAAAAAAAACAATAAACATAATATTAATAAAAATATAAACTTGAATTTTAAAATCAATATTTAAAAAAACCTATGATCTAAAATTAAAATACAAACATAACATGTAAAGTGTACTGAAATGAAAATTTAAAAATAAAATCAAACATATAAAACATTTTCAAGCATGTAAAACCCACAATTTCCCTTTTTTCCTCAATTGCATTACTTCAAATAGCTAATGTGATGTAACAAATCTTACATTCTTGATTCTATGAGCTGCCTTTACACCAAGCCCCTCGAGGCAAGCCCAAACAAGTCCATGTTAAGGTCTTAAATCCTTAATCCTTACACAAAAAAAAAAAAGATTTTATAATTTTAATTACCTTTTAAGAAGATTTTTACTAGAATGAATGAACAACATTAGCAAATAGGGGGTTCTCAGAACTCTAGTGAGCAAGCGAAGTGAGTGAAAGGCACATTAGGTGCACCCATGGGCTGAAGCGCAAGGTGCACTAGGCACACCAGGAGCACGCCTTTCGAAAGTGCTACCCTAGGGCCTAGGTGAGGCGCATACCATAAAATGTGCCTCGCCTAAGAGACTAGGTGTGCCTTTTAAATCACTGCCTACAATACCCTCCCACACACACACACACACACACCAATAACATAAGATTCCTCTTCCACTCTCGCCTGAGTGCCTAAGCATGCCTTTTAAATCACTAGTTTACCAGTATCTCGCAAGGGATAAGTTGGTTAACCGGGTAATTGACCAACTTCCCTGTGTTCTTATGCCACTATAATGGGTCCTATGGTAAACATATTTTTCAAAGAGTATCAGTTGCTCGGGTAACCGATACCCACCTGGAGGGTGGATAAGTTGCTTACCTGGCCACCAAAAACACTAATCCCTTCCATCACTCTCTTTACCTAGGTAAGTGAATACATAGAAGAACGCTGGCAACAAAGTTACTCAAGTAACTTTTGCCTGAGAAACACTTGCCCGAGTAAACTCACTTACCCAGGAAAGCGAAAACAAACAGGGCCTAAATCAGTACTTACACATACTAAAACAAACAATATTTTTTTTGATCAATTACAATAAGCTTTATCAATGAGTATGTTTTGTGAAACTTTAATTACAAAAGGGGGAGGGAAACTATCTTAACTCCCCAACAACAAAAGAACAAAGAAAGAAGCTAAAAATTAGCCCAAAATAGAGATTCCCTAAATGCCCCTTGCTTGGCTAACCCATCAGCCATTGAGTTAGCACTTCTCTTCACCCAGCTGTACTTCACCTCAATATCCCTACTCAGCCATTTAAATTTTTTCTTTTCATTGCTGTAGCTCCACAAACCACTGTTGTCTCCCTTCAGCCACCTAATTACCACCTCCCGAGTCCCCTTCAAGGACCAAGCATCTGATGTTGAATTCTCTTGCTCTTTGGATTCCTTCCAGAACTGCTAGAATCTCAGCCCTAAGAGAGTCACCCTCTCCAATTGGGCCTGAGAACATTACAGTAATAACCCCATCCTCATTCCTGAACACTCCCCCAATCCCAGACGGCCCTGGATTCCTTAAGCTACTACCATAAGCAACTCAGTATGAGATTAGTGATCTTCTGCCTTCTAGTACAGTTTTTTCTCACTAGAACTATAGCAGATCAGGATCAATGATCTGCAGAGTGTTGAAGAAGCTCATCGTATCTTTGATTGTTGCCTGGTTTTAGATGGTTTTTGGAGAACTAATCCAATGTTAGTTTGAGCTCAAGAATTTGGAATTTCCAATAAGCCAAGAAAACCAGAAATTTTCTAGGCTATCTCTTGGAAATTCCAACAAGGTTTCCAAGGTAATACCTGCTTTCTCAGCATCAGAATTCTTCTTGGGCCGTCTCAATACTTCATAACTTTGACTCAAGTTAACCTCAGGCTGAACATTACGAAGTCGAGCACTTGCCCTAGTAACAGTTGCATGTTGAACAACAGGAGTTGAAGGAAAACCAGAGCCTCCATCATCTGGAAGACGGGTTGGCCCCCCTTGGGCAGCAATCTTGTCACAGAATGTAACTAATGCAGGGTCCATCTGTGATAGCATTCCTTGCACCTGTAAACATATATTCCCATGGTACAGTGAGAAAAATGACATTTTGTGTATAACTAGAGACTGAAGAATAAAAGCACATACTGCATCTCGAAGCTCATACGCTCTGCTTACAATCCTAGCACCATTGTAATCATCTCCATTATAAGCCTGAAGATATGTGCAAAGTAAAATATTAAAGCTCTAATGTCACATAACAAAATAGCAAGTAATAATATCAGAATCTGAGCAAGTCTGCTTGGAGGCAGTCATATAAGCTTCAAATTTCTTATGCCCAATGCATCACAAAAACTAATAATCAGTCCGAAAAGCTTTCAAATATCAAAATGACAATAACATATACATATTTTGAGAAAGAAAGCTAGTTTCAATAAAAAAGGCTTATATTCCTTTTGAGCAAGTTCTTATTGACAATTTTGTCGCAATTTTGAAATTTTCATTGTTTTCTTCCAGTTTTGAAGGGTGACAAATAAAGAACCTATACAGTCCATCCCTCTAATTCCAGTTCAAAATGGATATGAAATAAGACGACGAAAAGAAATAAATGAAACAAATAAGGAAAGAACATAAGACAGAAAAAAGAGAAGAACAAATAAATTGGGATCAATAAATCATAAGTATAGATTTATTTTTTGATGAAATTTCAAACTCAATCTGAAATTATGCCCAGTTCTAGGTTAAAATTCTAGCTTCCGAAAACAAAAACTAAATCCTTATATCAAAGATTTCATTCCTTTGCCTGACCCATGGACATGGCAAGTTGTCTACTAACCACATTGCAAAAATTGAGCCCCTTTACACATTGTAGTTTATTTGAAATAAAATAAATCAAACCAATTTCCGCATTCAAATTGGGAAAAAGTCCCAAGAAATGATGCTCACAATCATAAGCCATGTAAACAAGCTTTGGAGTAAAGAAACAAAATGATAGAGAACAGAACATATAGCAAGTTCTCCCCTGCACATCTAAAGTAAAAGAAAAAAAAAAAAAACACTAGTTATATAATCCAGCAGCATTATCAGATGGATCCCCTAAATTGATTGTTTTCTTTCCTTGATGTGGCTGAAAACCCGTCCTACAAATAACTTGAGCCTGATTTGTTTAAGAGGTGACTCTCATCTTGTACAGGTGCACCTCATATGAACCTAGATGTGTATAACCTGGGTCATTGCTATGTTTTCAATAATCACTTTCGAATTTTATGTTTAAATAGGTAATTTACTATATTGTAGGTTGTAATAATGTTTAGTTTCTGAATAATCTGGCCAATGCAAGCCTTGAAAGTAGAAAGAAAAGGTCACTGCTTCATGTCAATAACAAGATGCTCTAACAAATTGACCTAACAGATTTTTGAAATGTTTTATTTCTTTCATAACCTGGACTTTCTTTTTTTGATAAAAGATGAAGATTTTATTAAAAATAATAAAGGTATTATAGTAACAACATTCAAACAGAGCTGTGAGATGTAGCCCCCGTTACATAATCTGAATTACAATTGAGCCCAAAAAATTCAGTCTCATGCACCCCAAGTTTTGCAAAAAAAAAAAAAAGAGTCAGCTAACCCATTTGCTGACCTCCTTTCCCATTGCAAAATAGTGATCTTAGTCATTTAAATCTTTTCATAGAATGCCTATATTACCAAACCACTGTTTCTGGTTCCTTCAGCCACCCTAGTACCAATTTAGACTGACCTTCAATTACCAATCTGTCATAGTTTAAGTCTAGCAATTTGTACTCCTTGCTAGACTGCTTTTAATTCAGCATACACCGATTCCCATTCTCCAAAAGGGCCTGAAAATACAGCAAGAATGCATCCATCAGAATTTCTAAATACTCCTCCAATGCCAGCCAGCCCTGGGTTTCCACAACAACTGCTATCAAAATTTAATTTAATAAAACCTTCTCCCAGAGGAGTCCAGGCTACAACTGGTTTATTCTTCCTAACAGAAGAGGTCTGAGAAGAGCTCTAACAATTTGGTCCAATGTATAGCCCTACTTACAACACATTCCCAAACTGCCTCCTCATGCCTTTCTGTACCATTTAAAATTCTGTTGTTCCTTTCCTCCCATACTGTCCAAATCAATGCAGTCCGAGCACATCTCTACATGGCTTTACCTCTTCTTTTTGGCCAGCTGAAGGTCATAGGGTCAAAGAGACTACCAACTTGCGGAGACACACTCCACCTATTTACCAAAAAGACCAAAATTCCTTTCCCAAATACCTACAACAAAGGGGCAGGAGATTAGAAGGTTGCAACAACTTTCTCCATTTGCTTTGCAAAGGGACACCAATGTGGAGAGATACACAAGTTAGGTATTTTTTCTCTACAGGATATCCAAAGCATTAACTTTTTCATGAATGACTTCCCAGCAAAAGCCCCTACCTTTAGAGGAATGTGTTTGGACCAAATTTCTTTCACAGGACAGGGCTTAGGGGTAGGGGAAGAACACGAGGAAGAGAAAGAAGAGGAACATGAGAAAACTCCCTTAGGATGTGGAATCCAAATCCATCTGGTTTAGAAAAATCAAGAAAAATAGAATCAAGAATTTGTAGAAACTGTTGGACAGTTTTTTTTTTTTTTTTTTTTTTTGAAGAAAGAAAGAAAATACAATCCACAAATGGACTTCCAGAGAGAAGCCAAAGTAGCCCTCAAAGAGATCCCGACATCCCAACCATTGCCTATACTTCCATGAATACTACCAATAACCTCTTGCCATAATCTCCCCCACTCCAAAGGCCATCTCCAAAGCCATTTACCTAGCAAGGATAAATTCTTCTTCCCTAAATTACCTATCCCTGAGACCCCTGCTTTTTTGCTTCTTCACACCAACTCCCATTTAATCAAGTGGTCCTTCCTTCACCAAGCTCCCATAAAAAATCTCTCATCAGTTTGCTTCTTCACACCAACTCCCATGTAATCAGGTGGTCCTTCCTTCACCAAGCTCCCATAAAAAAATCTCTCATCAGTTTTTCTAATTTTTTGACTTCCCTCTGCAGCATAAGACTGACAAGTAATAAATTGGAAAGCTTTCTAAGGTGGATTTTATTAAGGTAATATTACCCCCAAAAGAAATGTAATTCCTCTTCCAAGCTGCCAATCTCTTAGAACAGTTCTCTACTATTGGACTCCAAAACATGCTTTCCATCAGATTGTCTCCTTGGGGCATACCCAGATATCTCATAACCTGGATTTGCATATTCTTTTCCATTAAAAGTTTTTCTTTTGATACATATTCGTTTTTAAGGAAGTCACAACTCACATTGTTCAATCCTTGCATTGCACCTCAGGCTCTAGGAACCCTTTGCACTTTAGTTGAGATTCTTGCTTTTAAAAGACTGAGGGTTCAAGGAGAAGCCACAAGCAGATTTCAGGCTGATCAGAACACCTTGTAGATGGCCATGGCTTTGGAAGAGAAAAACAAGGCAATAAGAACAATGGGCAGATAATATAAGCAATTCTATCATGGATTTGTTAGATAGTGTATACACTTAGCTCCAATAAGAGTGATGTAAATTGACATTTGTTATTGAATAAATTCAGTACATTATTATTTCATGTGTTAAAGTATGTTAGCATGTATTACCCCTTAGCTATACATTTATGAGACTTATGTTAGCTTAAATATTCTCAGCTGATTGATAAACTTGGGGAGTTTATCATGCCAAGGTTGACACTCATGTACTGTTGAATTGGTGGAGTGGTTTGTCTCAACTACTCGGGTTAGACCTAAGGTACAGTGAGTGGGTGTTTGAGAAATACTGAATGGGACCATTTCCAATTATACCTTGGACCATGGAGATAGATGGGTAAAACTAGGAAGTTACATTTAATCCTGACCTGATAATGATACCACACTAGGCATTGGACTGGTCTGCTTTTGATATACCAACCAATGAGACCCATATGGGGTCAAATACCTGGGTAAGTTGGAGCAGACTAGAAGAATACTTGAGTGGGTGATCATTGTGATAGCATCAGCCACTTTGTTAGACAGAGAATATCCAGATTTACACTCTCTGATGGAAACCTAAAATTAACGACAATGCATTTCAACGTGTTTTGAAATTGGTTTTGCAAAATATATTTATATTTAAATAGTTTATTTTGATTAAAAGGTTTGTGAATTGGTTTTAATCCCAACTCCCGAGATCCATCTGAATGAAGGGTTTGACACTTTATCTTGCAAACTTGGAAGAGGTCCTTCCCTGTCAATAGTGTTTTGATATTATTGGTTGAGAGGTTACTGCAAATGTCTAATTGGGATAAAGCCTTATGGGCATTTTCCCAGTTTAAACCATTGGGCTTAGGCTCATAGGATGATTGAAACTCAAGTCTTATTTATAACATAATGTCGGGCAAAATTTAGGCCCAATTTGTGTTGGGACGATTCACTAAGTATCACTTAGTGAATTCGGCCCATATATTTTGTGATATGGGCTGAAACCATTTGGTTTAAGTTTGGAGCTATGTGGGTCCCATGCCATACAAGAATGAAGTTAATTATTACTGGTCAAAGTGTGGCAGAATTAGGACACTCAAAAGGTTAGTCAAATTCCAACTCCTAGTTTGACTAGGTGATTATCTATTTTGACTAGGTAGTTAGTTTGTTGGAAACTTGTAGTTGATTTGGGAAACTACCTAGAACTCCCTACTCTAAGTTTGGATCATTTCCCAATTAGTAGCTCTCCTAATCTGTTAAGAGAGTGATTAGGAATCTTTTAATTGAATTAGAAAACCTAAATTTATAAAGGATAGACAAAGAGGGAGTCTAGCGCATCTTTTGCTAGAAGAGATTGCCCACAAACCCTCGTTCGATCAAGAGTGAAAAGAAGACCATTCTTTCTTCTCCCAACCTGTCTTTTACAGAAAATATGATCTTTTGAGAGCATTAGAGTGCACAACATTGCTGTGATTTGACCAAGACAAAGGAGTGCATGGGTTCAGCTTGAATTTCTCCATTTTTTCAGCAGTATGTGATCTCCAGGAAGGCTGTGCCATCTTCAGCTTGGGCATGTTAACCACTTAGAGAGCTGCAACTGTGGACTCCAAATTAGGTCACATTCTGCCCATTCTCCTTCAGATTAATTTGCATGATAATTCTAGATAGATCCTATGAGAATATTTTCTCATAAGAGATTTGATCTCTCCTATTGGGATGAATTGAAATTTTTTGAAATTGCACTCTTCTTTCCATCAAAGGTTTGACCTTGATTGGTCCAAATAAGCCTATTCTTCAGGATTGTATTGAACAACCTCGACCCTTCCAATATTGGTGGGGCCTTTAGAGATCAGATGAGCAATATTCTCTATTAGATTCTTGGGTCCAATGAAAGAAACCATTTACCTTATAAATCATGGTTTAGAAATGTTGGCGCATTTTCAAATATTTCCATGACAGAATTCCATTTCCGATGGTACCAATCAATGTTTTCAGAAACATACAATTTGGCATTCAAATCATACATTTCAAATCGAATTGCAGCTAGAAAGATTCAAATTGTATGATCATATCATTTTTTTAAACTTATCATATGCTTTGTAAGTAGATTGTTGAATCTAATCATAAACCATGTCTGCTTCACATTGGAGCCGCATTTCTTCAGGCTGATCAATAGGCCATTGGAGTCATCACCCTGCTTCCTTTCTCACTCAACCATGCCTCATCTGTTTCATGGGGCAAACCACATTTCGCTGTAAAGTATTCCAAAGCAATTAATTACATTCTTGGATTTAGGACAGACCCAACCTGCACCCTACCTGGTCCATTGCCACCCCTGGTATACAAAATCATTTTGATTTGGAATTGATGGGAAGTGCTTTTTCTTAAGATAAATAAAAGAGAAGATTTATTAATGATAAAAAAGGTACAGATCTCTTAGGTGACAAGATGTCACCACCCAGCAATACAAGAGAGAAATTCCAACAAAAAAAAACAAACAGAAACAGACCAAACTCAAATCCCATGCAAAATTAAACCAACAAAGTAGACCAAAAATTCGAACCAAAATCTTCTTCTTTTACTGCCTTCAAATTCTGGGAGAATTAAAACCCAATCAATGAGTTTTGAGCTGATTACTAACACTAATTTTTAAGTGCTCTTCAGCTTCCCATAAAAAATTTCTTCTATTTCTTTCCTTCCACAACTCCCAACAGACGGCAAAAGGAATGCAACTCTAAAGAATTTTTCCTTTGAATTTTCTCTTTGATGGGAAGTGTTTGCCCCTCTAAGATGTGCATATCATCATTCAAGATCATTAAGTTTAATGATTTTCAGGCCTTACAGCTAATCCTTTATCATAATTAAATTCATTAGCTGCTTTCATTATTGCTAGGATTTTAAAGTTTATTTAAGATTTCCTTCTTTATTTTTCCACAGAAAGAAAAAAGGAGAATTTATATTTTCATAGAAGAATTAACTGCAAGAGTCTAGTCTCTCTACATCTAGTTTACTAATTCTGACAAGAAAAGGTAATTTTCAAAATAGAGAACAGAACTCAAATCAATCCAATCATAATAGTGTTGAAGGTCCACACACCTTTGCATTGGCCCAAATGAGATCAACGTCCAGCAAGAATGCAGAACATGTCATATACTGCCCAGAATCAACACGCTGCAGAAGAGTAGCCACATCCATTGGATTCTGGACAATTGAGTGATAATTAGGTGCATCCTCATCCATGACTGGATAGTGGAACACACTGAAGCGTTTATCATACAGAATCCTGAAGCATAACACAGAGAGGTGCACTCATTAAATACCCTAAGAAAATGATGCAACTGCTTTCATTGTTTTTAACTTTTCAGCGTAAGGCTAAAAGGTTTAGCATATCAAGACTTTCTGAATGTCAGTAATTGATCCCAGAATGATAACAGGGGCTCAACAAGCACCATTTCTGCAGTATATTATTATTGGATATAGAGAATATTCTATGCAGATAGCAGAGCATCAAATATGAAAATGTTTTATGTATTAATTCCCTCGGGAAGAAGCACTATATGTAACTTCTATACTTGGAACAACCACCACATTTTCCAATAAAATATTCATAAATTTCAAAGAAGATTTGCTATTGATGGTTTCTGAAAATTCACCTTGCTACAGATTCCTCAAAATGAAAAATGCAGGGGTTGATCCAGCCAGTGTTGCATGGACTCTCCTAAATGGATGTATTTGTGTCAGGCACACAAAAGATGCCAACAGTCCGTGGACTCTTGAAGGACACTTCAACATGACTTTTCCCATTTTCTCCTAGTTTTATTTAACATTAATGCATGTAATGAATACCATTGTTCTATAAAGACATTTTAAACCTTTTATGTATATAATGTTAGAATTGAAAAAATATGAACTATTTTAATATTACATATATTTCAATCATATGCAACACTAGATCAAGCCCGACCAAAATCTTGTTTTGGCTACAAAAGTAGGTCCAAAAGTGCATGCCACAAGGCCATCCCTGTTCATAGATAGACATCACCTCACCTTTCTCTTTTTATCAATAACTGCATTATTTCATTAGGAAAGGAAAAAAGATACGAGAGAAAACCAAGGAGAGGGGTAAACTCTCTTAACTCTCCCCCCAGGTTGTACACTGATTACATTGATCACAACACAGCGCAGAAAAGTTGATCCCTTCCACCCCTTACTTTGCTAAAGCATCAGCAAAAGAGTTAGCACTTCTTTTCACCCACTGCTAACATCTATGCTTTGTGACCTCTCATTTTGCAGCCAACCCACCACCAACTTTGAATCACCTTCAATGATCAGCTTCCTGATATTAAACTCCTTTGCTCTTTGCACACCTTCCATCACAGCCTTGATTTCAACCCTTAATGAATTACCAACACCAATTGAACCTGAGTAGAGTGCAATAATTCTTCCCTCATTTCGAAAAACACCTCCAATGCCCAAAGGACCCGGGTTCCCTTCACTACTTCCATCAAAATTCAACTTGATAAAACCACCAGTAGGCAGGGACCAAGAAGGCTTGACAACATCTCTGGAAGGTGCTGAACCAGCCATTACTAAGTTAGTCAACAGTAGATGTCTTCAAAGTAGCTTAAGGACTTCACCCAATGAAGCACTCTAATGGTGATGGTTTCAATGAGTGCCTCCCTGCTTGTCTCCTCATCTAAAAACACTCTTTGATTCCTTTCTTCCCAAACCATCCTACAAACAGCAGCTCTTGTGCACCTCCATAGCATTATACCCCTTTTCTTCGGCCAACTAACAAGGGTAGAAAATGTGGTGTGAGAATGGTGATTATCCATAATAGATTGTTTTAAGAAGAAAGAAAGAAGAGAGGAGAAATGGGAGAGTTTGTGGAGGTAGGCCGTTGGGGAAAAGCTTTGAAAATTGAAACTAAGCAGCTTCTATTTGAGGAGCTGAGATTAAATGGTCAGCTGAGCTTGAAAATCAGGGAAGCAAAGAGAGGGATGGTGCTGTTAGAAGGTTTGGGGGTAATTGAAGGGTTCAAGGAGTTTGTAGAAGGTGCAAGTAACAAAGGCAAACAAAATAGTTGGAAAGAGTTTCTCTCAGAAACTGGAAGAAGGTTTGTTGTAGAGTGTAA